TAGGTTGGGTGTTTTCCCCTCTCTTTCACTGGGATAGCTCTCAGATTAAATCCACTGAGATCAATTGAGTCATTCCAGATTTTCCCCAACACACATTTTTGTAGCTTAGAAAATAAATGCTAGAAGAAAAAAAAAAAAAATCAGACAACCTCCCAAAGCTGAAATTGCCCTTTCCATTCAAATGCAGTGCTATACCCAAAACTGAAATTGTCACACAGCCCGTTAATCTCCATTACAAAACATGTTCTTTATTTAGTAAAATTACAGCATTTGGTTGAATGATAACAGTATTTACATACTGGTTTATAAGCTCCTGAGATGTTTCTCAAGCAAATAAAATAAGAGAATAGGTTACGGTTTATTGAAATAAGAGAACTGCATTGTTCCTAAGAGAACAACATACTGCTGCTATTAGTGCTCCTATGCTACAAACATTTAAAACAATGTTGTCCTTTGAAGGATTCATAGCACATATCATTTACCAAAATAGGACTAAATCAGCGGTGCATGCAGAATAGCCCTCAATGATGACAAAGGCAACCCAAAGAATCTACAGAAAACATCCAAATTTAAAAAATTCAGAGTCCTCTTGAAAACAACACACGAAATTTTGTACCGCAACTGTGCTCCATGGAATAGCCTGAATCCAGAAATGGAGAAAATCTAGCAATAAAGGGTTTTTTAAAGAAAAGAACACCACAGACCTACCGATGTCACTATTAAAGATATCACATCTCTACTTGCGGAGCACCACCCAAATTAAAACAAAACACAAAAAGCAAGCCCCCCCCAATCCACCAGCAGAGCAAGAATCAGAAGAATCAGGCTGAATAGATGACATAATAATAAATTTCAAAGGCTTCTGGAAAATAGCAAATACTCTCAAGTACATCAACAGTTAGAAAACAAGAACAAGCACCTACATATCTGCAGCTTTCTATTATTAAATACGAAACATAATAAAAATATTTACACACAGCATATTCCAGTGATGTAACAGCTGCCTTTTAATTTTTTTCAGCAAGACATTCTCTCTCTTATTGACTTACCACCGAGACCAAGAGCTCAGTTCCAAAAAAAACAGAACATTTTTTATCAGAATAAAAAGCTTTGTATATACTTTTCAATTTTAATTAGACAACAGTTCTCTGTTAAACTATAGTTTATTCAATTATGACTATTTCTAAGGGGACTAGTAGAACATTAAGCTTTATAGTGCAGTATGGGGAAAACTCCATGGATGTCAAAGCCTGCAAAGCCAAGTAACTTAACAGTCACGGTCCAGGGCCAGAGCTGGTGAGTGAAACATTCCTTTTACTAACCATGGCAAACCACAAACCCTCACTGCAGAACACACACGGACTGAAATTCAACCTGCTGGACAGTGACTGCTCTTAGAAAAACCTTAACAATTAGTGTCAGCAGTAAAAATATCCTTTTGGGGGAAACCGGGCTTTTTATCCATTTCCTGCTTTTCCATGTATCGTGTCAATTTTCTAACGATCAGTTTTGATATCAGACTGCAGGTAATTTTCCAAAACAGGCAGGTATGCATACCTGCTCCCATATATTAAATAAATCTACTAACAATTCTCCATTTGAAAGATGATTTTGATAACTCATGAATTTGTTTTCAGTTAAATATTCTACACAGCATCACAAACAGCATAAACCTTAGCAAAATAAAAAATCGAGTTATGTAAGTATCTGGTGCTCCAAATATGTTTGTATATCAAGGAATAGGGTGTTTTGAAATGCTAGCATTAGAATAGCTAAAGCTTGACTTAAGAATTTATTCCACAGCAAACTTTCCCTACTTCCTCAACAGCCCTTTCTCCAATTTTTCTTCACTCCCTAGTAAACTGCTTGTTACAAACTCTGAAGTATCAAAGCAGCTTTGCAGCAGGTGAAGCTATGAAAATAAAGGATATGAAACAAATATTTCTAGTGTTTTAAAAGGTTTGCCCCGTGAAAAAAATAAGGATTTTTACAGTTAGAAAGGTCTGTATATGTGTACGCATATCTAAGTACCTGTATCACTCCTCCATGCAGATTGCACGAGAGTCCAGATCTGCCAGCTTACAACACATTGGAGAATCATGACCCAAACAGGTAAATTCTTGAACCCAAAACACAGCTGAACATATGAGCTTATAAGGTAGCTGTTCTAAAAATAATTTCACCGATACTGATCACACATTAAGGTCACACTGTTGCCAGAAGAAATAAAGGACTGTATTTAAAAAAAAAAAAAAAAAAAAAAAAAAAAATCAAATTCTATTTCAGTAACTTTAAAAAAGAAAAAAAAAAAAAAAAAAAAAAAAAAAGAAGCTACAAGTCTACTGGGACACCTAACGCCTAATCCATCAAGTCCTGATTTCAAGGAGGCCAAAACGTTCATGTTGTCATGTTCTCCTGTATGTTTCTGTATCTTCAGGTTTGAACTATTAGAAAGGTGAAATCAGCTGGCTGTGTAGTGTGTAGGTCAATTTATTTCCAATACGCTAATTTATGCAACATTAGCACAGAATGCCAGCTCCGATTCTCTTAGTGTTTGCACTCTAGGAGTAGACGTGTATTTTCTGCCAACTCCATTACATCATCCGAAAAAACCCAAACATTTCTTTTTTTCACATCCCTGCCAGTCTCCTTTTCCTTCTCCCCTCTCCCTTCCCAAGCCCTTCAAAACCACACGCCAATTACTGCCGGGAGCTTTATTTCACTTTGAAGCCCGCAAAGCCACAGCACCAGGCGCGCTGGCTATTGTGCTGCACACGGATGCCTCCATCACTGACCTTCGTTTTTTCATTCCGACTGTTACATAACCCCGTGCCTGCTTGCGTGCGGCGAGTGTGAGAGCCTGAGCGAGTGTCAGCGTGCGCCCGCGTGGGCCTGCGTGGGCCTGCGAGGGCCTGACCCCCTCCCCCTTCCGTATTTAATCCCGGGGGAGGAGGGACATATGGGTCAGCAGGTTAGCAGTACCAAAGCCTAAACAATTCGGGACCGTGAAGAAAACACCCTCACCACCAGAGCCGCCCGGGCTTCCCAGCCGCACCCCCCCCCACCCCCCGCCTCGCCCCCTCCTCCTTTTCGCATCCATCCAGAAACGACAGCCGAGCGTTACATAATTTATGGGATCCCGAGGTTCCCCCCTCCCCAAGCCCGCCGGGGCCGGCTGCCGGCTCCCCGCCGCCGGCCCCGCTCCCCGGCAGCACCATCTGCCCGCGCCGCCGGAGCGCTCGGCCGGGGGAGCCGGGGGGGCGGCGGGCGCGTTGTGTAACACCCGCGAACTACGGCCGCTCCGCAAACATCCAGAAAACTCCCCGACAAATTAAGGAAATTTTCTCCAGTGTTTCTGATTAACCTCGTTACATAAGGCGCTTGCATTCCAAATCCACTCTCGCAAGCTCTAAATATACGCCGCGCAGCCAAACGCTCCCTGCACACCCGCCCGTGGCCACCCGGCCTCCTCCGGCCAAGCCCGCTCCTCCTCGCCTCGGCATCCGCCTAACTGCGCGCTCCCTGCTCGCAAATCGCCTCTAATTAAATGTTTCGGCGTGTGTCATCTCGATGGCTTTTACTGTACGCGGATTCCCTGAGTGGGAAGCTGCCTGGGAAGGGGGGGGGTGTGGCCAAAAGGGGAAAAATACTGTAAAACACAAGCCAACACATGATCAGCCATATTCCAACCTACAACCAAAAATCCCTCCGTCCGAGGAGAGACGGTCTCCCCGCCGGCGGCGGCCGGGCATCGCCGCCCCAGCCCCGGCGGCGGCCGCCGAGGGGGCTGCCGCTCCCGCCGGGCACGTACTTTTCGCCGCCCGTCGTTCAACAGCCCTGTGTATTATTACATAGCGTTATTTAATTAATTTTTACCCATCACCGAGTGGTTTTACCGAGCGAAGCCTCTCTAGCGCGCTCCCCCTCTTGTAGGAGCAACGCTTCATAAATTATTTACAAGTAATTAAAGCGGCAGCCTCCTCCCTCTCGCACGTCTCGGCAAACTCCGGCGCTGTTTGAAGCCGGCGCCCCTCACCGTGCCCGCGGCGGGAGCCGGGACGAGCGCGCCGTGCCCGCTCCGCGCCGTTCCGCGCCGTTCCGCGGGCAGCGCGCAGCCCTGCCGCCGCCGGGGCGGCTCGGGCACGACCGAGCTGACGCCAAACTTCAACCGCCCTCAGCACCTTCCGAGCTGCCCCGCACGACTAAAAGGCGCAATCTGAGGCAGGACGGGGCTTGGCGCTCCGCGACAGGGGCAGGGGGGTTCGGTCGGTCGGTTTGTAGTTTGTTTGCAGCGTTTTAGCCGGGGGCCGGGGGGAGGGCGGGGAGCGAAGGAGAACCCATGGAGGCAGAGAGACCCTCGGGGAAGTTGTGCACCTTCAAGAAACAACGGCAGCTACGCGATCATCCGCTCCGCGAGGAGATCGTTTTTAAGATACACTTAAATGAATTAAGGGAAAACAGCGCGCAAGAGAGTGAATAAATCACCCGCAAACCGCACATCTCCTGTTTAATCACAGATCCCCCATTCACAACAAGCCACAGCACACCAGTTGAGAAACTGTCAAAAGGAGACAGACGAGGGGGAGAAAAATGGGGGGGAGGAAGGACACTGCAGCTTTAAAAGTTTGTTCCCTTGAATCCCAATACTCCTGCTGTTGCTTTATATATTTATAAAATTATGTAATTCCAGGGGCACAGTACCCATCCGGATACCACAGGCAATAAACGAGAGAGATAGGAAAGCACCAAGCACCGCTCAATATTTTCATTGCATTTGTCCCTCCTCCTGCAGCAATTAAAAGAAGCTATAAAAGTTTGCAAGGTTTTGCAGGGGGTACAAGCGTGGCTCGTTTGCGTGCGCGGCTCCAACGAGCACGAGCAATAAACCTGGGGATTAAATTGCTGCATTTCCCCCTTCTCTCTTACCCCCCTCTTCCTATTCCCACCCACCCCCCGATCCCACTCCCCCGGCCCCCTCCCCCTTCCCCAAGTCTCCCTACCTCTGCTGCTGCTGCTGGAGTAGCTCTGCCTGCGGACGGGAGCCGGCGCATCGCTTTTCCGGGCAGGCTCCAGGTTCACCGGGGTGTCCCTGGCGCCGGCGGCCGCCTCGGAGACGCTGCTGCCCGGCTCACTGGCTGCTGGATCGGGGGCTGCCGGAGCGGACTCCATGTTTTTCCCAATGTAGATCGCTTGGAGATGGCGAGCTCCTACACTCCCTCTATCTTCTGTTTCCAGCGCAACTCTATGGTAGGGAAGCAGAAGGGAGAGCGCGAGCGTGATCCAGATGGGATGTGAGCTTGCCTGGCTGTGACCACAAGCAGCGCTAGCGAGAGCTGCACACCCCCCCGCCCCCGCACCCCCCGCGCTCCGCCGCCGGCCCCGCGCCCCGCACCGCCGCCCTCCGCCGCGGCCCCCGCGCCCGCCACAGGCGCCGGCCCGGGCGGCAGCCGCCGCGCTGCCCCTGCAGCCCCCGAGCGGGGCCGGGGTCGGGGTCGGGGTCGGGGTCGGGGCCGGGGCCGCCGCTGCCCAGGGCGGGCGGGAAGCCAGCCCGACCTCCCTCTGGGCTGGGACCCACGGCTCGACGCGCCGCGGGAGGCCCGTCCAACAAGGTCGCCGGGCCCACGAGGAGCTCCCACCCCTAGCCCCAGCACTGGCAGGAAGGGCTGCTCCACACGGCTAGCTTTCCCCCCACGGCTGTTTCAGCTGAAGCGGCATCAGAAGCTGCCAGCTGTATTAAGTGTCTCAAGACCCACACCTTTAGCAGCCGTGCAGCCGGAGAAGGCGACATGTCAGACAAAACCTCTCTTTCAACCAAGTATGCTTTGACGTAGGACAAAAGGTGACTAGCAAGGTGTCAGAAAGCCTCCAGATCCAGTCTGACTTCTGCAAGCACTCTTGAGCAGTTCAGAGTCTCAGTAATGGTCAACTCGTCCATTACCCAATTTTAAAATAAAGTAGCAGCTGCCACGAACAGTGTGGTGAAGAACACATCTCTCCTGTATAACAGAGGCCATGCTCCATTGCAGCCCTACTGCCTCCTGCACAGAGGGTGCTAAAGGTGTCTGCTTTGACTGTTCTGACTGGAAGCATGGCCTGAGTAGACTAAATCACAGTATTTATACTGAAAGCAATACAAGCTTTTTCCAAATAGTTCTCGATCATGTGTGAGCAGCTGATATGCCACCTTTTGCCGACCAGGACCGCTGCTACAGCCTTCAACACTGCTGGTGCTGGTACCTGCTGAAACTCGGAGGCAAACCCTGGACAAATCCACATTTTGCAGTCTAACCACCAGTATTGCACTGCTCTGTCACTAATGGCGGCTGCTTGCAAACAGCTGTGAAACATACCATGAGACCTATTCACCCCAGGAGCTTGTCCACAAATTGGATTACATCTTGCACTGCTGATAGTTCTTTCAGTGGAAGGGTAGAGTCTTGGGTCAGTTGATTTGGAGGTCCTGAAGTTCCAATTACCCGTTTCTGGAAAAAAAACACAATAGTTCTGATTATCTGTTGGCTGCCTCCACTTGAGAGGGATGGGGAGAGGCTGCAGAAGACAGAGTAGAATTAAGAATGATTCCGCATTTATTTTCAGGGCACAAATAAATCTGAGGTCAGAGCTGGACTTACAGACCTTGCCCATTGAGTAAACCAGTGCTTGTTCTTGACGATTACTAAGTATTCAGTTACGGCAGGCCTGGAAGCCCTGGGGGATGGACACAAAAGGCTACAATGTTTTTCACCAGTGACAAATGAAACCATCTCAAGCCCGATTGAAGCTGTTCCTAGACAGCAGGCTTGGAGGGGGAGCAAGTGAAAAGGGAAGAGGGAGGCAGGAGTACAGTTTGCTCTCAGTGGTACATCTCAAGGCTGTGGGGAGTGTCCCATCCGTACGCTGTAACATGCCGGCACAGACAGGCTTGCAGCCTTTTGGCATGGTCTTGCTGGAATCTGCAGAGCGCAGCGAGGTGGTCCTTCTCTGATGCAAGTTTGGTGGATTAGAGCTTCAATTTCCTGCAAACTCTCTCCCTTTACTTTTCACTAATTGGCAGCCTCCAAATAGAAGCAAGAATTATGTGAGCTGTGCAAATTGAACTGCCTGTTATCCTGAGAGAAAGCTTATCCCTCCCTCTTCAGATCAGGGTTTAGGCAGGCTGACCAGGCAATGTGTGTTGGGAAACTTGCCCGGCTAATAAAAAAAGAACTTCATTCCACAAAGCTGCCAGACCACTGCCTTTCACCAGCACTGGGAACAATCAGACTACTTGCCACAGTAAGGATTATTCACGTGAGTGTTCTGCAGGACTGTTTTTAGTATTGCAGATACTTCAAATTATCAGAGAGTGTGAGGTGTTTTTTTCTCTTTTCCTCTTATCTGTTACAGGCTGCTGAGATTTCGTATACCTACCTTTGCTACACAATTGTCATTTAGCATATCTTTTCCCCGCTTTCTACAACTAAACAATTTTTCAATTTACTTTCTTAGAAGAGAAAGAAGAAGATAAGGAAACACTGAAGGCTACAATAGGACAACATACCATAGAGCTCTGATTTTCAAAAGAAATTATGGGGACGCAGGGGAAATCACAGAGGAGTAAACCCAAGTGCCTAGAACACCTGAATCAATGGAGAATAAAAATTACTTTTATGTTGTTTAACAACATCTCTCTCATGAGTCACTAGAAGTAAGAACCAGCTAAAGCAGGACAGACTTGAAGCATGTTTGTAGAGGCAACAATCTAAGAGTTTTTGTAGCACCTACACAAGCAAAGAGACAAAGCAGCTTTGCTCTTTTGCAAAAAGAGGGTGCCCGAAAAACGTGAAAGCACCATGAGAAAAAGAATAGGGAGACAGTTTACTTGAGCTTTATATAATGGAGGGAAGCCATCATGACTTTTGTCAAGCTTCTTCTCTATGAAGCTGCTCAGCTGAGACATTTGCTGGTCATAGAAAAGGTCTTCCTCCTTCTTTGTTTTTTTATTTCTGGCTTGCAACCTATACCAAAATGGTTCATTAACTTTGATCACTAAGCTTGTTTAAACAAGTGAGATGGCATTAGCAGCAAAGACAGGTATGCTGAGAAACCTGAAGAAAAATGTTTGCTTAGATTAAAAAGGGCTTTAGAAATCGCTGCAGATGTTACCTACAACAGATCCTACCAGAAGTAACAGTGATGGAGCTAAAAGGGACAAATATCACCAAACATTTCCTGTTGATATCATGTAGATACAAATATTAATAATTAAAAAAAAAAAAAAACAACGACAACAAAAAAACCCCACAAAAATCTTGTGTGATTCTGGAGTAGAGAAGATATTAAGATCATACAGACACTCCTCCAGAGCACCGACAGAGTGATGGAGTAGGTGGCAGAAAAACTATAATGCACACAACTATCAACCACCACAGAAAGCACACTCTCATGTGGGACAGGCACAATGTAGACAGACACATGGAAGAAAATCACAGCTCAAAAGACAATAGTACACCACCATTTTGCCGTAGTGTCCATGGTTCATTAATATGCAAGCATATTTTGAATTTGAGGTAGCCAACACTGGTCTTCTATGTACATAACTAATACAGCTGTTGAAACACCCCACTTTAAAAAGCATCCCAAAGTACATTCCTGACCCAGGAAGTATATAGAATCATAGAATATCTCAAGTTGGAGGGAACCCATAAGGACCATCGAGTCCAACTCCCTGCTCCTTAGAGGACTACCTAAAACTAAATCATATGACTAAGAGCATCGTCTAGACTCTCTTATATAATAGCCCACCTTCCCTTCTGTGGATCTGGGCTACAGTGGCCTCTGGCCACACCATGCACATGTCAAAGGGGACTGTCAAACCTTCCTAGGAAGCTTTGTTAGCTCCAACCTAGCAGCTGTAGAGAACATATTGCTGCAGAGCTGAATAATCATGAGGGCAAAGCCTGGATTATATCACACAAAAAGAACTAGCAAGGTATTTTGGTGCTGGTGGCATTTCCTGTCTTAGGTGTTCCCTTGTGACATTCCCTCAAATTCCTCCAGTTACAGCTCCTCCTCCTGTACTACAAGCTGCCAGGGCTAAGGCACATTTGCTTCCATTGGACATGTTCCCCTGTCTGTGGTTTTGATGTCTTTGCAGGAAAAGAGAAAGCAAAAGGTTAGACGCTGAGGACATTCAGAAGAGCAAATTTCAGAGTCATGCAAGTAGTAGGACATCCATCAGGTCTTTAGTGGAGTCAGCTAGCACAATTCGGATGCACTCATGTTTACAGACCAATCTTGAAAGAAGAGTTTAAATCGTGCACATCTATTCTTTGTAATCATATTCTGTGGCGTATCTTTTAATGGTTTACAAAACTTTAGTTAGGTAAATTTTATGGTAGGACAAGAAACTGCTTCCACTTGAAACACATATAGCCTATAATACCCCAAAGCAACTTTCTCAAAGTTATGCACCCCATTAAGCTTCAGCAAAAACAGGCAGACTAGTAAACTACATGTGCAGAACCTGAACTAATTACTGAAGCTGAATATTTGTCAGTAATTAAATTAAATACTACTTTAACAGCATTCTTTCTTATTCTAGATGAAAACAAAGTAAGAAATAATAGGAGAGAAATAAGACAACTGTGCTGGAGGCAGATGCTATGACTAGATGCAGTTTCAGTGGACCCTTTCCCACAGCCTTTATCTCTAAACAAAGTTGAAAGCTCATCAAACAGTTCATCTGGAATTTACGCTCACAGATATAATTCTGTTTGTTTTAAGAGACCAAGGAGCATTTGTTACTAGCTAGCACAGCACAGATTCAGTGGAATCTCCTTCTTCCTGCTGCAAACTCACAGTGTAAACTATGAGCTGCTTTTCATTGTTTGTTAAGCCTCTATTTCCACTTTCCTCTCCTGCCATTTGGATTCATTCCTTACTGGATTTTCTCTTTCTGAAAGAAACTGAAGTGGAGAAGCATACAACACATGAAGTAATGAATCTTTTGTGCTTATCTGTACAGCACTATGTCCACAATCATCATCCCCTGATACAAAGAGTAAGCAGCAATAGCACAGGCCAGTTCTTAAGAATTCAATACTTTTTGTGACTGAATTAAGGCAAAAGGCCCAGAGATATCTGTCTTTCTCAGCATGCTGTCTTTGCCGCTGTTTTCCTGCAGATGGTTAAAAAAATTACTGATTATTTTCCTTTAGCAAGATGAACACCTTTCTCGCATTCCATACACTTGCAGACAACCTCTTCCTCCCACAAAGGTAGCTAATTGA